TCTTAAGCTACTTTGGGCTCCTGTTTGCAACTTTAAATTTTTAGCTGTTTGGCTATTTTTAGCTTTTCCTACTTTTAGTTGGTGTTTTTACATTTTGCCAGCATTTTGCTCATTTTAGCTGATCTTTTGTTACTTTTAGCTAGCATTTTGCTATTTTAGCTAGCTATTTGTTTCTTTTAAACAACATCTTGGTTCAGTTTCATTTTGCTTGTATTTGCCACTTTAGCAAAACATTTGTTGTTAGTTTAGCTCGTAATTTCATACTTTTAACTATTGGCTGGTGTTCTGCTTTTTATAGTTTAATGACTTATTTGCAGGTCTTCAGCTCATAGTGTTTTCAAAGAGTTTCACAATATCTCTTGTTGGACTTATTTTATGGCTTTGTAAGACAAAACTGTCAACATAGGTGTGTGTGTTCGTACCTGAGCTACAGGTATAGAAAGATCCCAAAATGGATCAAACACGGTGGACCTGAAGCCACAGACGGTGCAGGTCAGAGAACTCTTCAGCTGCCCCACAAACAGGTCTGAGAGCCAGACAGAAAATCTCAGTAAAAAAATGCAAATATTCTAATTTCACAATTTTTAGGATAAACATTCAGCTTTAATGTTGCTGAAAGGCACCCACCCACAACTTTACTGTCCTCTCGCTCCAAGTACAGATTCCACATCCGCCTGGCTTTCTCATCGTCCCTGTCAAAGAAAAGCAGCAGGTTTACTCCCAAACCTCCAGAGTGGAAGTTTATTTAAATCACTTTATCAGCATTGAGACATCTGAGGGACGTCTCAAGTTATAAGTTACTTATTGGACACAGGAAAAAAAAGCAGAAGAGCGAAGGTGCCGACTCACGAGAGGTGATCAAAGTCCTCCATGGATGCCTTCGGTCGCAGCGTCGCCCTGTTCACCTCGTTATGAAGGCCGTCCAATAAGAAGCGCAGAAACTCCTGAGCATCCTGCTGACTGCAGAGGGACACAGATTTACCCGCTGATTCTACTCAAATATGCAGAAATAAACGTAAAACAAAACTTCGTCAGCTAAGAGAGGGAAAAAAATACTCACTTGCAGCCGACGAATTTCGGAGCAAATCTCTGAATCTGACTTCTAAAATCAGACGGACTGATCGCTTCTTTATTCACCGACATCCACAGACTCTGAGTCAGCTTTGCAAACTCTACAGACAGACAAATAATAATAATAATAATCAGACCCAACAGTTGTTTTCTTAACAGGAAATTTACTAATTAAATTGTGAGAAAAAATGGTGCCAAAAGTCACAATTCTCTTGCCAACATTACAATATTTTTATGGGTAAAAAACAAATGCATAGTGAGTTATTTCAAATATTTTGACTTAGTTAAAAGTAATTACTTGACATTTTTAAACGAGTTTTCATTTTTTATTAAAAGGTGAAGATTAACAGCCAGAAAAGCAGAAATTAATGATGAGGTTACCAAAAAAAAAAAAAAAAGAAAAAAAAAAAGAAAAGAAAACAGGGACATTTTTACGTTCAGTTTGACCCGCCAGAACACACTTTAACCTATTGAAAGCCAGGTGCTTTGCTGTGGTAAATTACGGGAGCATCAAGTTAGCTAATAGGTAAAAAACACATAAATAGAAAACAAACTAAGCACAAAAAACAAGGAAATTTGCATTTGGTTGATTGTTTCTTCGTAGTAATGACAGATCTTGACAATAAATTGTAAAAAAAATTGTTAGAAAAAACACTTTTCTGGGTTGAGTTTCTCTGCTATTGCCTCTTGTTTAGTGTTTCTTCTTAAACTGGATGGTTAAATCTGAAGAAAATACACATAATGACAGTATAAAAGTTTTGTCATTTAACAATCAGGAGCCTAAGCAGCATGTGGAAGAACCATACACAGCTACAACAGCCTGGCTCCGCCTCCTCATGCTGCTAACTAAATTCTAGAGGTAATCCTCAGTCTTTACTTTTCGTGCCAAGTTTATTTAACCTATATAACTGAACCATAAAGTGGTTAAAGTTTGACATGGGTCTGTAACATTTCAGGCTGCTGAGGAGCCGCTCAGGTCAAAAATCAGGGACTCAGGGACTTGTCCTACCTTCCATCAGAGCCGTGTTGTTCCTGCAGCTGGTCTTGAGGTCGATGCGGTGGACGTTTCTCAGACAGTAATCTCTCAGCTCCGACGTGTTGCTCAGACACTGCAGGATGGAGTTCATGAAACACTGGAAATCATTAAAACAAAAACAATGGAGTTACGGCGCGTTCAGAGCAAACGAGCAGTTCCGCCTGGAGCTTTAGAGAAGGGAGGCTTACCGTGTTGCCCAGGTTCTTCAGACCCACCAAACCCTGAGGACTCTTGTTCTGTTCAAAAATAAATAAATAAATAAATTCAACAGATTCTAAGAAGTTCAGGAGACAGAATTACAAACGTGAAGCATCATTTCTCTTCATTACTCACACGAGTCATCCAACATGAGTCACGTTTCTCAGCTCATGTTGACTTTTTAAACTTTTTATTTTGGTCATAATAAAAGCAACGCTGAGCTGATGCACCCAGCGTGACAAATTCTGATCTAAGAATTACAGCGAGGGAGTTTGGTCAGTTCTAATAATGGTARTGACAGCTCATCACAGGGACGAACCTTGAACTCTAGATTTCCTTTTCACATCTCACCGGCTGAAAGAAAACCTGACATCAGGGACGATTTGTTCCACAGATTAGTGATTCTGTTCGACTCTTTCTACAAATGAGGGTTTATTAAGTCCAAATTGGCACCAAACACTAAACCAGTGATATTAATCCTGCTCTTCAGTAGGTGTTCAGGTTCTGTAGGAGCCTGGTAATGGCTGAGACTGTTGGTTACCATGTGGTGACTCATAATTGAGGGATAGTTGCAAGAAAATGGGTGAATTTTCCGTTGCGATCACCAAGAATTTGAGAACATCGTAACTAAATGAGCAGCGAACCGTATGGCCGTATTTCAATGTCCATTTTTTAAATCTTGTTTTTGTTCCCAGTGAGATACTGGCATAAACCTGGAGATATTGTAGTATTAACAAATAGTATACATTCCGGTTAATTTAACTTGATCGTGTTAAAAATAATAATAATAATAAAACTAAGAAATTTTCTTCTCAGATTAAAGTAATCCACATTCCTTTCCTGTTCATGCCCAACAAGTCAGTGAAAGATTCCAGTGTTCGGTAAACCAACCAAATGGACCAATCAGTGCTTTTGTTTCAACAACAAACAATAAATCATCAGGAGTAAACAGCGGAGGAACAGAGTGTTCCTTTTAAAGCATAAACACCAGATTTGTTTGGTTGTTATATGGGTTTAATGTAAAGCTAAATAAACCCTATATGAAGCTTTTGAACTGGTCTAATTAGACAAGAACTGTGAGAATAATCTGCAGGCGTGACGATCACAAAAAGCTCTCACATCTTGTCAGCAGTCATGTTGTCAAAATATTTCAAACTGAAGAAAGATGTATTTCTATATTAAACAGACGAGCCCTTCGCACGTCACTGGTGAAATTAGTGACTCGGCTCCACAGGACTATGTGGAATTTGTTCGAAGCTTTCAAAACATGACGTCACCTTGGTCCCAGGAATGCAACAACACTTAATAAATCTTACATCGCTGCAAAACCTGTTTATTTCCTTTTAAACTATGACACATTTGTAGGTTTCGCACGTGAAAGACTTGCCAATTTTTTTCTGCCAAACTGTTTATTAAACTGTTGTCTCATGGTCTGTGTTTTTTTTATTTGATTGGATGGTTGAAGTCTGAAGAAATGACACACACTGGTAATTTAACAGTTCAACAAGCGTCCTCAGCAGCATGTGGAAGAACCATACGCGCTCAAGCTGCTCGCTGCTGTGGGATAGTGTCCCATTCTTCAACAAGCATTTATCTTGTGTGGTAAATAATCAGTGGATAAACATTTATTACCAATTAAAATTTGGACGACCCCATTCTAGATGGCCACCAMAGCAAAGCAACATTAGCCRGCACAAACGTGGCTGCAAGTCAACCTATTTTTACAGATATTTAGCTTAAGTCCTACAAACTGTGCAGGATTTTGATAAAAAAATATTTGTTTGGGTGGTTGAATCTGAAGAAATGACACATAATGGGAGATTAACGGTTTAGTCATTTGACAAATYGGAGCCTCAATAGCATGCGGAAGAACCATATGCAGCCACAGCCACGTAAAGCTGTGGGACGGCGTCCCATTCTTCGACTAGTGTTCATTTAGTGTGGCAAATAATTATTGGATAAACATCTATAATCAGTTAAGATTTGATAACGAAAAAAAAAAGAAAAAAAAAAGAAAAAAAAAAGATTTGATAACGACCTCCTTCAAAATGGCCGCCACCGCATGTTCATTAGTAGACATTTTACAGATATACATATCAAATAATAGAACTCAATCCCTACACAATATACACRATTTTGGCTTAAAATATGGGATATTTGTCACTCTGTTAGGAAAATATTTCAAGAACCACTGGAGAGATTTTAGTGAAACTCAAAGTGAATATTGGCTGTCYGTCTAAAGCTCATCAGATATGGCGGTAAAAATTGGTGTGGTGGTAATAGTACAGTATAACTCCGCCCCCTACTCTCCAGGCAGTAATCTCTGTTTAAAACTCAACGGTGTAACTTCACAGTTCCACGCAGATTTGTGCTGAGGGTGTCAACAGGTCCGTGACCTGCGGCCCGTCTGGGTTCAGCGGGTGTTGTAACTGAGTAACGTGATGAGTTGGCAGGAACGACTCAAACGCATCAACGCCTCTGCTGACGCCTGAGGAGCTCCGGCAGCAACAAACTGACAGAAGCACAAATATCTGCAGGCGTCGACCGGGAACGAAGCAGCAACATCCGCTCCTTTTTCACACCTCGGGTCCTGGTCCTCGTTAATTATTAGTTAGTTTTTTTTTAATCTGTGATTTTTACCACCAGTCCTTTCAGATCCTACCAAAATGATGAATAAAATATTTGTTTTTAACTTCTGAACTGAAATCTAGTGCATTTTCTCTTTTTTTTCCTTTACTACAGTGTTTAAAATGTGGACATATGGTCTGCTGCGAGGTGAGGAGCTGGGCTCGGTCCACACAGCAAGAACCTCCTGATTTTAAAAGGCTCGGGCCAAAAACCGGAGGAAGTGATGCGTTCGGGTGGTCTCGCCGCCCATAGGCAGGACACCAGAGAACATAACGTCCTGAAACCTGCGACGCACGGTGGCTGGAGGCGGCGTGACGGAGAGGAAGTGAACCTGAGCGCCGTCGCTCACTCAGAACCAGAACAAACATCAAACCTGCGGGTCCGATCGAGTTCAGGATGATAAAGTCTCAATCAGAGGTTTGAGGAAATCTGATCATTTTAGTAAAGATCTTCTGAACCCCACATTAAAGACCTGAACTACTCCTTCAAGACAAACATTGCAGACTTTTTTGTCATTCGGCCAGTTGCTTATGTTCTTTAATCTAAACTAAATTTAATAACSTATCAGGACTGACTGTATTTATACAGATTTATGTAGATTTAACAGCCATTTTTAGCATTTGAACCAGATTTATTTGGATTATATGTGGGTATCTTTCTTGCAGTCCAAGCAGTTTGTCATCGTACTGATGTTTATGTATCAACAGTTTTGGTAAATTTGGCTACTTTAGAACCCTCGTATATACATATGTATGTATGTATGTATGTATGTATGTATGTATGTATGTATGTATGTATGTATGTAT